CCCTCCATCCTGAACCCTGTTCTGTGTCCCCCCCCCTGCTCTATGGAAGATGGGGTAAGCCGGCTGCAGGTGCAGAGGGGAGGGGAACATCCTGACATTAAACCCCCTTTTCCCCTTCCCCTACCTCTCCCCCCAAAGCAAGCAGGAGGCTCCGGGGAGCAGCTCCAAGGCAGAGGGCAGGAGCAGCATGTGGCAGTGGGGGGAGGGACAGCTGAACAGCCCTGCAATTGATAGCCTGCTGGGTGGCCGCTGCACAGGGAACTTAGGGGAGCGGGAAGCTGATAGGGGGGCTACCGGTCCACCCTGGTTCCAAGCCCCCACCAGCTAGCTGCAACGGGCTGCTATTCCTGCAAGCAGTGGGCAAAGCAGATGGCTGCCAAACGACATTAGAAGGGAGCATTGCACAACTTTAAACAAACGTGTTCTCTAGTTGATCAGCAATGTAACAACGAAACAACCTTAACCGGGATGACTTTAAGTGAGGAGTTACTGTATCTACATAGCTACACTGTATAGAACAGGGGTCGGCCACCTTTCAGAAGTGGTGTGCCGAGACTTCATTTACTCACATTTATTTAAGGTTTTGCGTGCCGGTAATACATTTTAACATTTTTAGAAGGTCTCTCTCTATAAGCCTATATTATATAACTAAACTATTGTTGTATGTAAAGTAAACAAGGTTTTAAAAATGTTTAAGAAGCTTCATTTAAAATTAAATTAAAATGCAGATCTTATCAGTTTAGTGCAGTGGTTTTTAACCTGGGATGCACTCACAACCTGGGGTGCACGCACCCCCTGGGGTTGCGAGATGCCCTTTCTGGGGGTGCGAGACATGCAAGATTTTTTTTGTAGAAGGTAAATCATTGAAAACACAAATTAAGCACAGGCACATAAGTACAACTACTTTGTTTCATCAAACCTATGTATTTATTAACATTATACATGTTTTAAGGATTACTGTAATATACAAAGTTTTCAAGTTTTTAAGCTAATTGTAGTATAATTTTTGATAAGGGCTGCAAAGCGCTGGGACCAGGCCAAGAGCAGAGCCCTGGGGTGGCTGCCCGTACCCCAGGCTGGCAGGAGGGCTGAGCGGGGCCAGAGGCCTGGACCCGGCTGGCAGGGGGCCGGGCGGCTGGAACCCCAGACCAGCAGCGAGGTGAGCAGGGCCGGCAGCTGGTATTCCAGGCTGGCAGCAGGCTCAGCCCGCTGGTGGTCTGGGGTTCTGGCCACCGGTCTCTGCCATCCGGGATCCTGGCTGCCGCCCCGCTCAGCCACTGCCAGTGGGAGTTCCATTCACTCAGGTCGGCAGCAGGCTGAGTGGGGCCGGCGACCAGGACCCCAGAACAGCAGTGGGCTGAGCGACTCATCCTGCTGCCAGTCTGGGGTTCCGTCTGCTGGCTCCTGCCATCCGGGGTCCTGGCCACCGGCCCCACTCAGCCTGCTGCCGGCCGGGGGTTCCGTTCACCCAAGCCGGCAGCGGGCTGAGCAGGGCTGGTGGCCGGGACCCCGACTGGCAGCAGCTGAGTAAGCATTTTCTAAAATTCACCTCTATTTCTTTAAATAGGTACGATGACGCCATCCAGCTATATGACAGAATTTTACAAGAAGATTCAACCAATACAGTAAGTTAGATGGTTTCCCTGGAAATAATATTAGATTGTTTTAATTTATACTAAACCTTTGCTAGTATAAGTGTAGTGACATCACTGGGTAATTGATAAATCATTTTCTAAAACTTCCTAGTATAATATTCTAGCATTTAATTGTCTTCAGAATTATTTATTTTGCTTTCATCAAAAGGATTCAGGGTTGCATTTTCTTTTACGTATGTTGAATTTTGAGAGCCTACCACTGTAAGTGGTAGTCCTGTTCATTGACCTCAATGGGTATGTCTACACTGCAGCTGGGAGTGAGCCTCCCTGCCTAGGTAGACAGACTTGCACTAGTGGGGCTTGAGCTAGTGTGCTAAAGCTAGCAGTGTGGACATTGTGGATTGGGCTGGAGCTTGGGCTGTCAAGCAGTCCTGTAGGTGGCAATTCAGATGGTAGATGGACTAAAACTAGCCTATTATGTCTCTCCTATCCCTACCTTCTGTTAGTCTGATTTTGAAAATATAATTCAAATATGTTCTGGGAATGTTTGAATTGTGCAATACTTATCTCAGTTTAATAGCTGGAAGGCTATACACTTGCTCTTGAGTCAAACTGCAATTCATTGAACAGTGTGCCCACTTTAAAAAATCACTGTGCAGAGATTTTGGGCATCGGCCATGCAGACGGCACTTGCTATGTGTTCTTAAGTGTTACTTCAGTGCTGGTTGTGGAATTACTTTGCAGGATCTTGCCACCTGATATGCAAAATAGTTTGAAGGTGCAAATGATTAACTTTTTCCAGAGCCACCATGCTGGCTGCAGCTCATCTGTGTCACAGCTGTTGGATAAAGTTGAAAATTACCATGATATGGTAAAGGTAGGCTTGGGTCTTTTGTGTGGCAGTTGACTGATTCCAGATTCTGTTACAATGCATTAACAAAGGTAGTCAATATGCCTTTTTAATTTGGTAATGATTTATTGTTTCTTATTATTTTTGTATTAGTAAACTTCTCTGTGTATTCTTAGGACTTAATTTTGTCCTGTGGTTTTGTTTTTTGTTTTTTTTAAATCAGCATTGGTGCATGACAGTTGTTTGAGCATTAGTAATAGCACCTGTGTATCGTGTGAGCGCTTAGCAAAATTTTATTTTTTAGATTTATAAAATTGCAGTTACTAGCTTCAAGCATCAACTAAATTAAAATAGTCTTTGCAAAATTAACCCATTTTCTTGGACTAAGTAATGTGTGTGTTCGTTTTTTGGACAGACAAGTAAAATATCGCTAGTCCTGTCTTATTAGTAGGTCATTCCTCAGTCATCGTGGAGGCTTTCACAGGAGTTTTGCAAAGTTGAATCAAGAACTGAAATTCTCCTAATAAGTAGGTTAAAGGCACATTAAAGGATATTTCTAAAATGAAATCACCCTTTCTTTTCTTTTGTGGATCCACTAAACCCAGATGCCCTGCAACTGGTGACATCTACTCAATGGGATGCCCTAGCACAGTCTGTTGATATTTCATTCCTTAATAGATAGTCTGGAAAGCAGAGCCTGTATATTAGAAATAATATATATGATATCCTTCTCCACACACTGAATATTGTATCTTTCAACATTTGTGTGGACTATAAAATAAGATTTTCTTTTTTTTAAAATACCAACATTTTAGGGGTTGAGGAGAACCTGGCTTGCAACATCTTTGTAGGTGGGCTTTCATCTCGAGTGCTGTTCTGTAAGGATTTGATAGCAGTATGGTGCATACTTTGACATCATGTGGAATGGGAACTGCAGTTGCACAGGATTTGAATTTTATGGACTTGACCAAAAAAGAGAGTATTTGAACAATAGCAGTGTCCTGCCATGCCATTTAAGATATTTGGGACATTTCAGCATTTGAGTGCTTTTCTCCCCTCTTTCCCCACGAATACAGTTGAACATTTCACAAATATTATTGAATGTATATAGGGGCTTTCTAACCTACAGGCCATCATTTCATCTTCGTATTTTTCTAATGCTTAACGCAACACTTGCCCTTCTGCCCCCCAATAGTACCCACAGTGTCCTGCCATAGGCAAAGTACAAAAACAAAAGAAGGTACAGCCCTTGACCTGAACAGCTTATTCTCTTACACTGGGGACTTCTTTAATATGAAAGGATGATGGCTATTTCATATTCAAAATGTATAGCTAGTAAGATAACCCAAAAAGGCAATGCTAAATTATATGTTGTCACATAGTCTTGGCTCCCATTGTTAGTGTTTAGTCACCGATCAGGCAAATACTTTTACACATAAGTCCCATTGAAGTATATGTGTACATGGATACTCAAGTGTATTAGTGTTTGTAGGGTTGAGATAGTAGTAACTGGATCTTGCATGCAGGGAGGCTCATTGGTCTCTAGGCTTAGCATTGTACATCACTGTGTTTACATAGCCTGACTTGCATCCACTTCAGTATTATGATGCATCTGATTTCCTTCACTTCCTCTCATTCCAATGTATTTTTTCCTCCATAGGTATCAAATGAAACTGTTCTCAGTGGTAAAAAAGCTGTTCTTTACTGATGAACAGGCAAGAGAAAAAGCTTGATGGGAAGCCATTTTGCATAATTGTTATACATTCTTTCTCCTCTTGAATCGCAACTAATGTCCTTTTAACTCATAATTATTTTGTCTTCATCTCTCAGGAGGCTGGTGCCACAGAGTCTCTGTACTCTTTCTGAAGATTTTTGTTCTTTCAGTTTTTGATAGGTACTTACACAAGTACGATACTTTCTGGTATTCTAGACAGGCCAGAGGATTTGCAAGTCACATGTTCACCTTCAGGAATGGATTTCAAACTCCTCTAGCTTTTCTGCAATCTGCTTATTTTCCTTGGTTTCCTATTCATGTTTGAAAGACACACAGAAACATGGGGAAGCTGACTATCCAGGGATAATCTGATTAAAAACAACTCTACACCAACCATCAAATGCACAAAGTTGGAAAAAATATATGTAAATCATTTTTTGAAAGAAATGGCTCTTACATGTTATAACAAATGTAAATAAAGGATGTTCGAATAGCATGCTTCTAAATTGATGATGGCCCAGTTTTGGAGTCAGATTAAATTGTGTCTTTTTGCAACAATTTCTGGCTCATGAGAACTGGGCAGAATTCTGTCCAGTGGTGAAAAGAACAAAACTCACCACCCCTTTTAGCTTTCTCTAGAAGTCATGCTGAAACCAAGCAAAGATGCTTCTAAAGTATAACCACATTTTACAAGAATAGGTCAGCTAGGTGCGTGTTTTGTGATCTTCTGCTGAAACCAATGGAAAATGGAGCTCCATATTATTTAAGATTTGGGTAGACCATAAGCCTTCGAAGTATTTGTTTTTGGCAGGTGCACTTTTCAGCTGTTTCCAAATGGCTAACATCATCCGAATCTGTGGTTTGTTGAATATTTTTATTTAAATGTATAATTTTGTTTTAATAAGGAACCACCATGCTTGACGAAATTATCTAATTATGTTTTTCTCCATTAAAAATCCTAAATACATTAATAGTGAAAGGTATAAAGTAATGTAAAATGAAATATTAGAACAGGTGTGTGACATCTTGACTTTCTCAGATTCTGAAACTCGAGGAGGCTCTGTTCAATATAGTGGTGTTTTAAAGGTAACGGTAGAATAGATTGTGTCAGTCTTGCATTTGAAGAGTGAAAGTCAAATAGAAACTTTTGATAAATTGTCTGGTATTGGAATTGTTTGTCATCTACCTGTTAATTATTTCCATGCACACATGTGGCTACTGTAGGAAAATAAATGTTTCAGGGTTTTAAAAAAGTAACCATTGCTGAGTTTGTCTTGGCACTCACTTTGCCATGTAGCAGTTTTTTCTGGTGTGCTGACACATGGAGTTGCTTAGATATATTAAACATTTTTTCTTGTTTGGCAAGTGCTGTAAGTGAAACAGACATTTATTCACACAAGTCATGTAAAAATCTCATACTGTATGGATTGACAGTTTCAGACAAAAAGCTGCTTGGGAATTGTACAAAGATTAAGAAATCATTTGTTTTTGAGATCCAGCAGATTTTTTTAATTGTAGTAAATGGAATTATGAACTTAAGTTCATGAAATACAAAAGTACATCTTCATGTCAGTTTTTGTTAGATTTAAAACTACTGAATTAAGAGAATGACCAGAAGAAGAACTCTTTGTAACCTCAAAAGCTAGTCTCATTCACCAGCAGAACCTGGTCCAATAAAAGATATTACCTCACCTGCTTTGTCTCTAATATCCTGGGGCCAACATGGCTACAACATTGCAAACAACTATTTTATTGAGCTATTTAAGGATGGAGGTTGAAGGAGGTGTTTAATTTTGTATAAATGTAAAAGCTCACTTAAGAACATTTCATTCTCCCTTTCAGATCTCTAGCTGGAAGAAAAGTAAGCCATTCGATATAGGAGCCATGTTAAAATTGTTTTATTTATATTACAGTAGTGAGATTGGGGTTCCATCGTACTACTGTACGGGCCCTGAACAGACACAAAGTAAGAGAAAATCTCTGCCCTGAAGAGTTAACAATCTAGGGTGTGGCTAGAATGAGAGAGGGACAGGAGCCCAGGTGGGGTGATAGGAGCAGAGGGAGACACAGACAGGCTGGGGACACTGGAGTAGGGGCTAAAAGGGCCAAAACCCCATAATGTGGACTCACTTCTAGAACCCAAAACTGAACTGAAGTTCAGTCTCTGCAATCATCTGCTGTCAGCGTATAGTTATAAAACCCAGTGGCAAAGACTGTGTGTCATTCTCCTCTAGGGTGTGGTGCACACTGAGCATAATAGCTTGCTGCTGCTATCCGTTATTGTGTTAGCTCTAGCGTTAAAGGTCTGTTTGGTGGATAGTAATATCTGAACCCTGCTGATGACCCAAGTTTGGAGTTAGTATGGTTCCAAATAGAATTTCTGTTTTTCCAGTTTAAAAAAATATTAGGAATTTGCATATTTTTTAAAAAACTGTGCAAAGTTAAGCACTGAAAAGTTAGGAAATG